AACCATTACTTTGAATTCTTTATCTGACAAATTACTTTCCTCCATTTCATTTAGTTTCTTTTCTGGTGATTCCTCCTTTTATTTCATTTGTGGATTGTTTCTTTGCCCCCCCCCATGTTTGCTGTTCCTTTATTTGTTTCTATGTATTAAGTCAAATTGCTATACCACCTAGATTATATGGGTTGGTCTTATGTAATAGGTGTTTTATGGGACCCAGTAGTGCAGTTTCTCAGATCTCCTGGGCTGGGTGTTCTAGGAAGACACCTTACTTTAGTCATTTGGATTCTCCTGTTTTTGTTGGGTCTTGAGAGTTATTGTCCCATTTGTGGATGGATTCTCATTTCAGGGTGTCTGATTATGTGACTCACCTCTGACCCTGTTGTGCCAGCTTTTGCAGAGGTGCTGATTGAACAGCACAGAATACAAAAAACAAAAAATAAAAATGAAGAAACAGAACAAGAATGTACACAAGACCCTCATAGCCAAGACAAAAGTGACCACCAAAGAAAAGAGAATTAGGAAAGAGAAAACAGAGCAAGAATGATAGAAAGAAAAGGAAAGAAAAAATATGGGAAGAAAATACAACACAAAAAACAAATAAACAAAAAGCACAAACCAAAAACACCAAATAATAGGGGGAAGAACCTGTAAATACAGAACTTAAATAAAGAAAATAAGAATAAAGAATTAGAGGAATAGGATAAGGAGCATGGTTTAGAATTAATGAGGGTGAAAAGAAATGAGAAGATAAGAAAAAAATTGAAAAGAAGAAGAGAGCAGATAGACCTAAATTAAGGAAGTGAAATAAGAAAATAGGAGAAAAAAAAGAGAAAGAGAAGAGAGAATAAAATTGAGTAGTCCAAAAAAAAAGAGAAAAGAATATTGAATAGGAGCAGGGAAGAGGAAAATTAGATATATGAGCAAAGCAACAGAGACTAGAGTAATTACAAATCAGATGTGGATGAATGAACCTCCGGGCAGAACTCCTGCCACAAATCCACCCAATGCCACAACACCGAGGGCAGCTATGAGTGCCGCTGCAGCCCTGGCTGGAAGCCGGTTCCTGGGTCACCCAATGCCCAAACAACACTGTTTGTGAAGGTTCGGAGTTCAGATCCCATAAGTATACATCTTCTTTTACTTGGCTGAGCCATCTGAAAGGAAGCTGCCATAGGGTTTTGGCAGAGAATGGGGCAGCATTATCAGCAATAGTGCATGCCCAGTGCAGGCAGTGAGGAGGGGGTGAACTGAGCCGGGCAGGGCTGAGTTTCAGATTCTGTTCTAATAAGGGCAGAAGTACAGCTCTGGGCGCAGCGATGCCACAGCCCACAGTCTCACCACATGGGAGCTGTCAGTGTGGCAGCCACCCTGGTTAGAAGTCCATCGCAGGTCCTGCCCTAGTCCATTGTGACCTACAGTGTGGGACATATCTTTGTGATGACACTTGCACACACTGTCCTTTCCTCGTCCACCTTGCAGGGGGCCTCTGAGCTTAATGTGCTTTTAAGGTAGAAAATGTCACCACAAATTTGTATATGTCGGGCTAGGTGGCTTTTAGGCAGGGTTTAGTGGGGTCTCCAGAGTGTAATTTGAGAGAAAGGGAAGGAGCTTTGGGGTCACGGAGTGGAGGGAGGCCTGACACTATCTCTGCTTTGTCCTCAGATGTGGATGAATGTGCCTCAGGACAGAACTCCTGCCACAAATCCACCCAATGCCACAACACCGAGGCCAGCTACGAGTGCCGCTGCAGCCCTGGATGGAAGCCTATTCCTGGGTCCCCCAATGGCCCACACAACACCATCTGTGAAGGTTCAGAGTTCAGATCCCATAAATGAACCACATCTTCTTTACTTTGCTGAGCCACCTGGAAGGCAGCTGCCATAAGGAGCTTTGGCAGAGCAGGGGCAGCACTTTCAGCAACAGTGTGTGCCCAGTGCAGGCAGTGAGGAGAGGGCACCTGGGCCAGGCAGGGCTGAGCTTCAGAAATGTTCTAATAAGGGCTTGAGTGTGGCAACCTCCCTTGTTAGAAGTCCATCACAGGCCCTCCCATAGACTATCCTGCCCCACAGTAAGGGTCAAGGGTTTGGGATGACATTCAGCCCTGCCCTGTCTACCTTACAGAGGTGCTCTGAACTTATGGAGCTTTTACAGTGGAATATGTAACCACAACTTTGTATATGTCGGTGTAGGTGGGTTTTAGGTAGGGTTAAGCATTGTGTCCTGGGTGTAATTTGAAAGAATGTGCCGGAGCTTTGAGATCAGGGAGTGGAGAGAGGGCCTGACACTCTCTCTGGTTTGTCCTCAGATGTGGATGAATGCACCTCCGGGCAAAACTCCTGCCACAAATCTACCCGATGCCAAAACACCGAGGGCAGCTATGAGTGCCGCTGCAGCACTGGCTGGAAGCCTATTCCTGGGTCCCCCAATGGCCCACACAACACCATCTGTGAAGGTTCAGAGTTCAGATCCCATAAATGAACCACATCTTCTTTACTTTGCTGAGCCACCTGGAAGGCAGCTGCCATAAGGAGCTTTGGCAGAGCAGGGGCAGCACTTTCAGCAACAGTGTGTGCCCAGTGCAGGCAGTGAGGGCTTTGGCAGGGAAGGGGCAGCACCATCAGCAATGGTGTGTGCCCAGTGCAGGCAGTGAGGAGAGGGCACCTGGGCCAGGCAGGGCTGAGCTTTGGATTCTGTTCTAATAAGGGGATTAGTGTCACTCCGGGCACAACGGTGCCACAGCCCACAGACTCAGCACGTTGCAGCTATCAGTGTGTCAGCCTCCCTGGTTAGAAGAACATCACAGGTCCTCCCACAGTCCATCCTGCCCCACAGGTTGGGGTCCAGCTTTGGAATGACACTGGCACACACACAAGCACACACACACACACACACACACACACACACACACACAACACAGTCCTGCCCTGTCCACCTTGGAGGGGTGCTCTGAGCTTATGCTGCTTTTACAGTGGAAAATGTCACCACAAGTTTGTATACAATAGGACTAGTTGGCTGTTAAGCAGGGTGTACCTGGGGTGTCCTCGGTGTACTTTGAGAGAAGGTGCAGGAGGGTAATGTGCAGAGAATGGAGGGAGGGTCTGAAACTCTCTCTGATTTGTCCGCAGATGTGGATGAATGCACCTCCGGGCAAAACTCCTGCCACAAATCCGCCCAATGCCACAACACCGAGGGCAGCTATGAGTGCCGCTGCCGCCCTGGCTGGAAGCCGATTCCTGGGTCCCCCAATGGCCCAAACAACACCGTCTGTGAAGGTTCGGAGTTCAGATCCCATAAATGAACCACATCTTCTTTACTTGGCTGAGTCTTCTTAAAGGCAGCTGCCATAAGGAGCTTTGGCAGGGAAGGGGCAGCACCATCAGCAATGGTGTGTGCCCAGTGCA